CCCCACCCCCGGACGCTCCTTAGACACGACAGGGTGCAACATCCTAGCGGACCTGAGCGTCCACGACGTGGATCAGCTGGTCTGGCTCACCCAATCAGAGCGACCGGAGCACATCTACGTCACCACGCATGCGCACGATGCGACGATGGCGGAGTTCAAGGAGGCGGACGCCATTGGGGTGATGATCAAGTACCCGAGCGGTATCATCGCTAGTCTGGACGGGTTCCGGGAGTCTGTCTATGGATACGACATCAGGATGGAGGTACAGAGGAAGGGGTTGAAATTCAATGGTATGGCTTTAACGCCCCTATCAACACTATTAGGTTATTTAAGAGGCGGGGCCTCCTGGTTTAACGTCCGTCTCCGAAAGGACCGAGCCAAGTGGGAAATTCGTGTAAAGTGCTTTTCCAAAGGACACAACGTCGGACCGAGCTGAGGCTCGTAGCTCCGAACCCGCAATCACACGATTACGAGTTTGGTAGCCTAACCACTAGGCTACCTACGCCACTAGGAAGGGGGGAGGAAGAGGTGGGGTGCGGTGGGGTGGTCGGACATAATGTGTGATTAAATTGTTTTTTTTTAAAATAGTTTTAACTGCATAACGGCATATGAGCGCCAGAAGATTAGAGGTGTTACAAGAGAGTAACAAACATAAGAAAGAAGAAGAGGAGATAAGGACGATAGATATTTGATAGGAGAGAAGAAGCATGTCACACCAAAGTGATTAAAGTGTGTGTGTTGGAAGGGGGGGTAAAAGGTGGGGGAGGGGATACGGGTATGGGTGTGTGCGTGGGTAGGGTGGGTATTTAGGGGTGGGGGGTCGTGGTTGATGATACTGGCTTGAAAGTGTCCCATCTCTTGGCCTCATTAATCCTTTGAGTACTGTTTACATTGGGCAGCCTATGCGACAGATTATTTGACATCAGTCTGTCCTCCTCACTCTCTCGTAACTCCCTTCTCACTCCCTTTTCACTCCCTTCTCACTCACATGTCACTGCCTCCTCCTCACTCTCTCCTCATTCCCTTCTCACTCACTCCCAACTCCCACCTCACTCCCTCCTCCTCCACTCACACTTCCTCCTCCCTCCTTCTTTACTCACTCTCCACTCCCTCCTCACCCACTCCCAACTCACTCTTTGAGTCTCCCCCCTGGCTGACACTTTCCCTCACAGCGCCGCTCCGTGTGAGTGTGTGTGTGTGTGTGTGTGTGTGTGTGTGTGTGTGTGTGTGTGTGTGTGTCCAGCCAGTTATCATAGGTATCTTTCCATCCCTCACAATGTCTACCAATGGTGTCTGTGGTGTAGCAGTTAGAAGCGTCATAATAGGTGCAGGAGACTTTTAAGTTTAATTCCCCAGTGGAGATAACCTCCATTGAACATCTCGGTCTTTCTTCCGGGATGTTGTATCTCTCTGAGCCTGGGTTGGCCCTGACATACAAGGTATATGCCTGCCTCCTAAATTAGCTAAACTGTGTCGATGTGGGCGTAGAAAAGTGTCTACGTTTACTCCAAACTCTCGCAGTGATCATTTTGCATTCTTAATTGGTCGCTTTAAAGCACTAGTGGGCTATCCCGAAAAATGTTGTTTTGAGAAAATCGAAGGTAAAGTTTTTGCCCCTTGTTCAGTTTCTTTAAAAGATAAGGAGCGTTTTCTCTCTATAACCAAACAAATATGCACACCAATGAAATCAAACTTCTCCTATAGGTAGGGCAATATCCATTTTTGGTGTGATTCAATATTTCTGGAAACTCCCGAAATTTAGGTTAGTCCTCTTGTCCTTTGAAGCGACCAATTCATGCCCTCTCTTCTGCCATACACGACTCTTCGTCTTTGTGTTTTTGAGGTTTCCACCGCCATCGAACAAGAGACAATTCACAGAGACGAGCCGAACTTGACTCTTTTTATTTCTTATTTGTATTTCTTTTAATAAGTTGGGTCTGAAAGGGATGTACCCCAATCCGAAAATAAAATGGAGATACTGCACTAAATAAACTTTTCTTCGCTTGAGAATAGGACTCACCTCATCTGCACGTACGGGGAACAGCATAATTTATATAATTCACACAATTAATTAGTCTTGAACCGTCAGAAGCAGGCCACTATAGTGCCTTCGCCATTTCTGTTGTTGTTGAAAATTAAAGAAAAAAAAGATCGCTCTAATCAAAAACCGTACTTTCCATCCCCGTGATTCTTTAAAATTACAAAGTACGAAAGAGACGACGAGGAAATTAAAAACAAAACCGTGTCGTAAGATCCCCCTTGATGTCTTTATCCGGATGACTGCTTTATCCGGAAAACCACAAAAACTGATATGTCTATAGTAAAATAACGTTGACGCTTAGACATTAATACGCACTGAACTCAAGGAGAAGTGAAGCCAGTTTTATTGTTTTTTGCTTGATTGTGATCTAAAAATAAATGGAGTGTGTTTTGCTGGATAGGGGTCTGAAACATTTACTAACTTGTTCTCTCGCCTTCTCTCTCTCTCTCTCTCCCTCTCTCTCTTTCTCTCTCTCTC